CACACAACACACACTTAGGATTGGAGCCACTTGAGAAGGGCAATACATCCGACCATACGTGACACATTCCATATATTTTTTCCCAGAAGCCCAAACAACACAACACACATCACATTGAAAACCACTCCTGTGGCCTCCTGGGGCCTCCTGGGGCGTCCTGTAGCCTCCTGGTGCATCTGGTGCCTCCTGGTGCCTCCTGAAGCCTCCTGGGACCTCCTGGGGCCTCCTGGAACCTCTTGGGGTCTCCTTGGGCCCTCCTGGGGCCTCCTGGGACTTCCTGGGGCTTCCCGGGGCCGCTTGGAGAGGATTCGTGCGCCAGGAGGGGGCGCATCTATAGGAACATTCGTGAAACAGTTAGGATTGGAGCCGCATGAGAGTGACAATCTATAGGGACATACATAAAACACCAAAGAGGCATGCCCCAGGGCAGGCCCAATCTACAGGAGCATGGTAAGTACAGCAAATTGGTTTGGATCCGCCGGGGAGGGTCAATTTACATGGACATACGTAAGACACAGACAAGGTCCCCTGGGATGCGAACACCAACGCTTCGCCCGAGACATCCTCAACCTCTGCCTCGAAACCAGAGGATTTTCGGGCGGTAGAATTAGCAAACCGGTCGAGACATCCCTGCAATCTGGGCGCGAACGGAACTGTGAGATACCCCCTGGCGGCCCTGGCGGCTCCCCCTTGGGTGTGCTGCAACCAGCGCCTCGCCAGAAACATTTTCAGAATCTGCTCTGAACGCAGACGAGCCTGGCCAGCAAAACAGGCAAACCGTTCGAGACATCCTCACAATCTGGGCGCCCCTGGGATGCGACCACCAACGCTTCGCCCGAGACATCCTCAACATCTGCCTCGAAAGCGGAGGATGTTCGGGTTGTAAAGCAGGCAAGCCGCTCGAGACATCCCCCTGGCGGCTATCCCTTGGATGTGCTGAAACCAGCGCCTCGCCCGAGACATCCTCAGAATTTGCCCTGATCGCAGACGGGCCTTGCCACCCACAAAGGCAAACCTTCCGAGACATCCTCGCAGTCTGGGCCCCCCCCTAGAGGTTCGGAAACCAGCGCCTCGCCCGAGACATCCTCAAAATCGGCATCGAACGCAGAGGATATCGGGGCGGTAAAGTAGACAGCACCGCTCGAGACATCCCCGCAATCTGGGCGCGAGCGGAGGAGTGCAATACCCCTTGCCCCCCCCCCTGGAGGTGCTGAAACCAGCGCCTCGCTTGAAACATCCTCAGCATCAGCTTTGTGTCATCATCATCATCGTCATCATCGTCATCATCATCATCATCACCATCATCATCATCATCATCATCATCATCATCATCATCACCACAACCATCATCATCATCACCATCACCATCATCATCATCATCATCATCATCATCATCATCATCATCATCATCACCAACGTCGTTATCGTCATCATCATCATCACCACCATCACCAC